CGGCCATGGAAACCTTCTGTTGCGATTCTCACCGCATGATTTATGGGCATCATCCAAACCGTGCTCTTCTCCCGCGCAAAAACTTTTTTTCCGGCGGCACAAATCAGCAGAAATAGATTGATGGGTGAGGGGCACCCCAATTACCTGGTGGTCGGCGCCGTGTGTGCTTCCCTCTGTTCTTGCGCCGGGGCTCCATTCGTTTACTCTTCAGTTGTTTCCCTCACCGCACTCGGCTTCCACCATTGTCTCCGAAACTCCCGACCGATCCTGCTCCTCGGAGGCGGAGGAGGCCGCTCCACCTCTGCGGTCTAGGAACGTCCTTCTTTTTTCTTCCCACCCGCTGTCCTCGGCCCATCTCGTCGGAGGAGCCACATCAGCGCTCCTCTCCCTCCACGTATGCGCAATCCGCGCACAACGCGAGAGAGGAGTACATATAGCCCAGCAGCGGTCCGACTGATCTCGCTTCCAAAGCGCGCCGTGTGTACGCCAACATCTGGCGATGTCCCACAGATAAGGCGAAAACGGGAGCGCCTACTATCCCTGCCTCCTCCGGCGTTTCTGCCTCGCCGCTGCCGCGTTCATTTGCCGGGCCGCGCGCGTCTCGGAGTTACGCTGTTGTTCTGCGCCGCAGCGTCTTCGGAACAGCAGCAAGGCTGGAGGAATCGCCTATCACCGCCCAGAGGAGCGACGAAATGATGAGGGGGTGGCGTGGGAAGGGCAGGCGATGACTACCTACATGGGAGACGCGAGAGTATACCACGTCTTGTATCCAGCGATTCGTTAGGGTTTGTTTGAGCGTGTATGCGTGCTTGAGCCATGCGGAGAGAAAGCTCGTCAGTATCTGTCCCGAATGTTTTGTTACCGTATACTGTAGCAACCTGTAGACTGTGGGTGGTCATTGAATTGTTGGAACCTAATCTATCTCGGGCGGCTCCTTTGTTTCCGAGGTGGTGAAACAAGAAAATAAGACATATTTCAGCCAGAGTTTCGAGCTCATGTCTACAGTAAATGAGGGAACCACGGTAAGTAAAGGGGACACACAGGAGGGGCTGTATAAGTAACGGTTGTTGGAGAGGATGCACGTAAGAGTGAGCGGCTATCTCAGAAGAAGAATGAGCTCCCGTATTTTTGGTAAATTATTGCTATATCCCCAAATGCATATCTCGACTTAAGACTAATATCATAGCATTCAAGCACCTTTCCAGCAACGCCCACCAGCGCAATTCACCTCTTCGTTTTATTTATACGACGTTGTTTAAACAATGATGATGCCTAAACAACATGGAAAACAGAAAGGATCAACACTTAGTGAAGTGTAAGTGTTGCACATTCAGGCTTCACGTGAGGCAGACCTACAGTTTTCGCCAAATTATTTCTGGTGTTTCACATGACACGATATGCGACTGTCAGGCATGCCGTCGTGGCGGGAAAGGAAATACTTGTGATGATTTCAAGTTCTTTACCGCACACATAAAAATGATGTGACTCAGCTGCAATCACGCTGGAGTATAATTTCTCTCCGCTGCGTATCTGGTCAGAATAGATTGTGCAGGCGCCAAGCGACAGTGGCACCATCAAGCATGCTCTTATGACACAGAATGGCGGAAAGCAGAGAATGCATAATAGTTAGCCTTAAGGTAGTTCAGTTTCATCTGTTTACGATATAGTACGTCTACGAGTAACATAATTTAGCGAGAGCCACTCGTTGTTAAGGTGGAGCGCACAAAACACCCATCATGCTCTTGGTGCTGTAGGAAGAGCGTAGCCTCACAGGCAGGCCGTTAGGCAGCCTTCAAAGTTTCACTTGGCGCTTATTTCAAGGTAAAGAAATGAAACGGAAGTTTGAGGAATCGCAAATGCATTCTTTTTTGTTCTTCATTTTCATATAGATGCCATGCAGTTCACGTATTGCTCCGTTGACATCAGGATGCACGGATAAAGTACCGCGTATTTTTCTGCACAAATCAGCTGACACGCATAAAAGGAGCACATTCTCGACAGTGGCCGAACGCTTGCAGTGTTGCTGTGCTAGATATTTTTCTGAATTTGCAAGATTAGCTTATTCCGGGCTTTGACGCCCGCTGATGGCTTCACCACATTAAAGAACAAACGATAAAAGGAGCAAACAAACAAACAAACAAACAGACAAACAAAAACATGGCTGCAATGTAACTACATGTCGGACTTCCACCTAGTTACGTGGAAGAGGTGTCCTGATCAGTTATTTTTCATTGCCTTTTTGTTTCTTAATGGTCCATATGAAGTAGGCGTAAACAAAATGAGCACGGCGGTATCTGGAAAACACAGTCCGACTGCAGTGGACCGGCAGCCAGGTAGATGGATTTAAATTTTGCGCTATACGTATACTATATCAAGAGCTAACGATATGGCGTTGTACAGTTTTACTCGTTGTCGTTATCATCATCAGCTTCATCGTCAGCATCATCCTCGCCCTATGTTTATGTCCACTGCAGGACGAAGGCCTCTCTCAATGCTTGCGACTTGGCCCTATATGCGTTGATGGAGCTGAATACATTTTATCACTACAAACTTAATAAATTAATCTCATCATCTAACATCCAGCTCTGCATCCTATCGTCGGCTTCTTTTCATTTCCCTTGATCTATTCCATGATTGCCCCGCCGGCGTGGTCTAGTGGCTAAGGTACTCGGTTGCTGACCTGCAGGTCGCAGGATCGAATCTCGGCTGCGGCGGCTGCATTTTCGATGGAGGCGAAAATGCTGTAGGCCCGTGTGCTCAAATGTGGGTGCACGCTAACGAACCCCAGGTGGTCGAAATTTCCGGAGCCTTCCACTACAGCGTTTCTGGGAATCATATGGTGGTTGTGGGACATTAAACCCCACATATAAATCAATTAATTATTATTAATTATTATATGGTTGCCTGTCCTAACGCATTACGTGGCCTGCCCAGAATGTTGTTCTGAAATTCAGTAATTCCTAGTTTTTAAAATTATACTTGCATTTCAATAATCCAGGTAGTAGCAGGTCATGAAAGGAAATCAGGGACCCTAACTACGGCCGGCAGCACAATATCTGCAATAATCTTGACTCAATATCAAGTCCAAATCAGCCAGGCACATACAAACTCCCAAAGAATGACTCGCTCTCGACTCTCATCACGCCGTTTCCGTCTCCGAGCAAACGCGTAAAAGAACAATGTGGTTCTGTGTGTACAACCTCGCGCGAAAGGGGGAGAACACAAGAAAAGCGTGTGCACTGCGGAGAGAGAGGGAGAGAGGCGATTCAAGTGCCGTTGTTCTGTTCGGGGCTGCAATCCTGCTCGGCCGAACAATGCGTGCGCACGAAGATGACGCGTGTGCGACGCACCCGGGAGTTGAACTTGCCGACAAATGAGGCGCGAGCGCCTCTTTGCTGCTGCGCAGGAAAAGAAGAGTACGGGAGTAGAGAAACAAGCACGTGAGAGGATGCAAGAGAGAGGGGGAGAGAACGCTGGCGGGTGACTCGACCATCAGAACTCGGCGGCTGCTCAAATTCCTCGAGCGGCGGCTTCCAAAAATGTTTTGGGCGCGTTTTGCAGATCGAGTCCGCTGGCATGCCGGGAATGTCCGCGTCGCCCAGCTGCGCTTCTCCGTCTGTCCATCCACCCACCGGGCAACGGTTTCGTGCCTTTGTGACAGGCGGCGACTGCCGAAAGCCACAGTCTCTTGAGCAGCAGCAACGGCAGTCGCACTCTTGCCAGCACGGACGAAACCCGGCGGCACTCGACACTTGCTTCTCCATAAAGCGTGGAATGCGCGGCATTAGTGTGGTGGCGGCCACCGTTGATGCTCGCGGTGTCGGTGCACCACCATTTCTTCGTCCGCTTTCAGTTAGTTCCCAGTTTTGCTTCTTAGCGCTGGCTACGTATCCTTCTGGGAAGTGCAGTCGCCAGGGCGTTGGCTTCTCCACAAGACGCGCGGGCGCGTGCGGGAGTGTGATGTGCGGAAGCACGGGCTCGTCTTGTGCGTGTCTCGCCGGAGCGTGGCTGCGAGAGTTGAGTGTGTCCTCGCAAATTTGGCTTCTCTAAATATGAGAATGATATTATTCTTCAGAGTAAAACCTACCAAAGAGTTCTATAATTACATTTCAATGTTTTTTTTTTTCTGCTATACCCTACGCTTCGTTTTGTGAAGACCGCCAATAATTTCACTACGTAGCAGCTGCGCTTATTCACTGTTTCTGGCCACTTACGTTTCTAACAGACAATGATAAAGGGGTTGCATGCTTTTGTGAGCATACTACTCCGTGGTATGCCGTTGCACTCCAACTTCTCTTCTCGGTGTATTAAATAAAAAACACGCACAATATAAAGTACTGTGCGAATGATCATTCCAGCAAAAAAAAAGCCGTCTTCTATCGAAAAAGCAGAAGAGAAAAGTGAAGTGGAAAGATGTAAAGAAAGAGAATGAAAAAAAAATCTAGAGCATGGTAGTGTTGCTAACTTCATATGATAAAGTCGAAATAATCAAGTTCACAAAAAAATCTAGGCAGCAAAATGAGTCTAGCAAAATAAGTAAATCTAGGCAGCAAAACAAAACGGACAAAAGAATAGAACCCCAAAATAAAGTGATGCTGCTTATTGTTGGGGTTTTATGAGCCAAAAACACGATCAATACCATCATGAGGCATGACGTGGGTTCTTTTACGGGCACGGTTATACTTGTATATCTGCTCCATTCAAATGCTCCGCCTCTGATGGGAATCTTGGCAGCACGGCACCTGACATGCTAAATTATCGGTGGGCGCACGAATATTTGGCGCGCAGTGTGCTACACTAGAGTGTACAAACGAAATAACCTTCAAGCTCACACGAATTATAAGCCAGCATCTTTTTTTATGCTCAGATTTATTTGGAGCATTTTAGGTTTTATTGGGAAGCTTTTTTTTTTTGATGGGTAGTGAAGTTAGTTGGAGGGAACTTTGCCCTGGAAGTGGTACTCGAGCTTAAAGCAGCTCTCTTCTTTTTCGTTTCCACAGGTTCTTGCAACCAAACGCTTGGAATGACAAGCGGCGAAATCAAAGACGAAGACATCTCGGCCAGTTCCACTCACAATGCCGCCAGTGTGGGGCCGCAATTCGCCAGGTGAGTGACGCAAGCATAGATATTGTCCTTTGCTGAGGTTAAATATACGCAGCACCACAGACACTTTAAAACAATGAGTATGTCGTAGTCGAACGAAGGTAAGGTTTGACTTCTTGCCGTTTGTAATCCTTTGGCAACTGTCTTAATTCTTGATGTGAATGGCACGTCTGGTAAAAGCTTTAAAGGAAATTGGCTAGTTGGGCGACTATAGCACATCAGCGTCTTTGCGTCTTTACACAGTGCGCGAACGAAATAACAAGACGCCGCAGAAACGCGAGAAATGGCTCACGACTAAAAGATTTTTTTTTCGCAAACCACAGATCTATCTTTTTTGAATGCAAATGCCTACTTCAGCCCGTATAGCCCTATATTCACTATTGGGCTAAGAGAAGCATGAAAAAAGGTACAAGTGAATACGGATTACACACATAAAAAAGTTTTTTTTCTTCCGTTGTAAGTGGTGCCATGATGGTGCACTTATCACCACAATTAGTGATCTCACCAGCTTCAGAATTTAGGTAGGCTTTTTCTTTGCTACTTCTTGGCGGAGCTCCTGGGCTATTGAAACTGAACGCGCAATGACAATCTGCAGAATTGGTTGCCGAATTTAATGTTCCAGAGTTCCTTCTTTTGCCTCGTTTATTTTATTGCAGTAGCAATTATATGGGCACTTTCGGCTAGATTTCACCGCTGGTGTCTGCGTGGGCGTCGGCGTCGATGTCATGCACCGTATATGTATACGTATCAATGTATATGAACGTGCAGGAAAGAAAAAAAATCCTCCCCCCCCCCCCCAAAAAAAAAAAGACTCCGGCGCGCGATATCCAACGTGGGACCTCCGAGTGGTGAATGCAAGGCGTTAACCATTGACCCACCGAGAGGCACCTCCTTTAACGTTCAAACGGCAAGCTATTCGTATCTACCACTTACCGCTATTGGCGGGCATCTCGGGAGGGAACCATCATGTTTCCAGCATTATCAGCAAACATGGCGCAGTGAGCGCGCAGCGGCTTCTATCTCTCACGCGTACTTTGGCCCGCGTAGAGAATAAGGGGGTGTACGCTCGATCGCGCGCCCTTATCTTGCAGTGGGGAGGATCGTACGTCTTGGCTAGCCTTTTAAAGACAATAGTCTTTCTTGGGAACCTTCGACGCAAACATTTTGGTCTGTCTGTCTGTCTGTCTGTCTGTCTGTCTGTCTGTCTGTCTGTCTGTCTGTCTGTCTGTCTGTCTGTACATTTGTCTGTTTATTCGCCCTTAATGATACCCTAAACGGCACCAAACGATACCCCAAATGGCTGGCCCTATCCGCAGCACCCACCAATATTGCTCAAGATTTGGTGTTCATAATTGTGCAATTGTCAATTAAAAAGAAAATATTGCGCATACCTGAGGCACGATAACAACACGTCAATATTCTGTATGTGTGTCTTTGTACTAGAAAAGGCATGCATAAGTAATTCTAGGGACCGTAGCGCTTATCACGCGGCGCTGACCATGAAACGCTTGCACGAAAAGGCAAGTGTTTCCAACGCTTTGCTAAGACGACACGGTGGTGGTACCTACCCGTCGTCGCCTTGCGTTCTACACCTTATCGCCTCCAAGACGGGCGTGCATGCCGCGCGCTTCGTTTTCCAAGATAACTGCCAGGTAGCGCTCATGTCTCACGTGTAACCTGACTTGATGCGCTCGTTCGCCTCCGCTGCATGCTCGAGGCACTCTAACGCACCGTCTCCAGAATACAATTCACCAATTTTCTTGCGCGGAACATCAAATAAACGTTTTGTTCACCCTCTCCAGGCGCAAGACTATCGTCTTTCCACGACATTTGCGGGGTAACATGCAGATAGGGGGCCATTTTTTTTCTGTCTGTTGCATCCTAAGCGCTGCGTGTAAAGATGGCAAATGCATGGCGCAACGTGCTATTACTGGCACCAAGCAGAAAAAAAAAACTGTTAGCGCTACGTTCACGTTGTGCGGTGGCGCTTACTTTAATATTTTTTGTTTATCCGTGTTCGTACTTGTGTAGCGTGTTTGAGGTTTCAGCAATTAGTCGAGTTGGCGCCCCATGTCTACATAAAGTGCAAAGAACCGTACATTTACCTGCCGGCATACTGAATGACTTAAATGGTAATCCACGCTGGAGTTTCTCACTTTTATGCACAGTATTTTTTAAAGTACACTTGTAGATACAAACATGCATGCCCGCACAAAGCAGAAGTGCAGATTCTGTTTATTTCTTCAATTTTTCATGTGCATTTCTTTATTGAGTGCCTAAATGGTCCACATTATATCTGAGTATTTACTAAAACGCAATGAGCCATCGCTATTGAAGTTTGCATATTAGAGACGCGAACAATCTTTCCCATTTCTGACGCACATGAAGCTAGCAGGTGTGGTTTCTATCGGAAAAAAACCGGTTTTCGCAAATTTGCTCAGGAGAAACCTATTTAAAGGAAACGTAAAAACTGTCCTGTGGAAGTACAGTTTGCTTTCGCGATCCTCTATCCGTCCATATTGACTTCCAAAGCTTCAAGTATTAACCGTATCAACTTTGTGAAAAAACACTCTGGCGGCTAGCTGTGACAACGAAGTGAAAACGCTTTGCAAGGCAACCAGTTTATGTTAAAGCGTTTTCATGCATTCAAAAGGTCCGGAAAATCATGTTCCAATGTGGTAATATTGTGAATTGAAACAGTGAAGCAGTTTTCCCGTATTGATTGCTTCGCTGACTAATAGAGTTAACTATTACATACAAAAAAGTTGGTTTTCCCTCAAGGGCGAAACAACCTCACGGCTGCGCCGATGGCGACGGCAAAACTGCACCGCGAGTGCCCTTACGATTGGTATCGCACTAATAGCTTGTTGCTGACCCGTCGTTTTCGTCCTGACCATAGCCAGTTACTTTTGAACTTGTCACAACGAGTGGTAATCAAATATGGCGACAATATTTGTGCGAACTTGTGGGTTCGATCTCGTTTTTCGCGTAATGCCTATTCATAGCTGTTTTGGTCGCATTTTGGCCAGCTTGTTTTACGTCACTGGTTGCGTGATGATGGCACAGCAAAGCTTGATAGTTAATGCCACTAATTCCTGAACAAGCATCCTAATTAGGTCGAGTGCTGGCCCCTTTCGAGGCGAAGTAAAGGCTTATAACTTCTCCATGTGTGTGCTTCAGGAAAGACAGCTTTGAGAGCACTCGGAAGTTTGTTGAGCCGCGACGGCGATTATCCGTCTTAACTGACCGTATACTTTGGAGTTAACGTCCCTTGCATGCAACGCATGCGTGCACTGAAGGGTTGCCAAATAAAGCAGTGATCATCGATATTACGTGTCGAGGAAATTTATATGTATGAAGGAAATGTATGCACTTTGTTAACCTGCACCGCTTGCGCAACATTCCGAGGAAACCCCCGCAATCTGCAACAAACTTAACATGTGACCCGTAAGCCCTTTCACGTTCGACAGTTCATCCAAGTTAGTTGGGAAATTTTCTCATTTCCCTATAGGGCCTTGGTGATTGAGCACCTTCTCTCGTGGAGAAACGAAGGTGACTGCGCCTGGATAACGTCGAACGAAAACGTTGCTATGTGTTCTTGCAAGCGCCTCTTGCCAGAGAAGGTGGAGTTTCAATCTGCAGCATGAAGATTGAAAGCGTTATCAATAATACCGAATGCATCGCGAGGAGACTCTTCAACCCGCGCCGGGAAAACGGCCGTATGGGTGCTTTCGATGCATATATTAGACGGTCACCTTCTGTTTCCAGCCTATTACGAAGTATATAAACAACTATACGCGCGCAGTTCTGTCGATGAATATTTCACTTAGTTTAATATGCTTATTTTTTTTCCCATTTCGAACATATTGCAAAACCTTCGTACACATTCGCTAACCTTTCCACACCGAGTAAGCTGAGCTCCACCAGATCCCATAAAACAGTTCGTTTTTTGTTCCGAGTCCTTTCTTATATGCGAAGTGTATCTGGGCCTACCTATACCATTTATTTTAGTCGTGTGATGCTCTCCCACAGGAATGCGTTGCGATGTGTCTGTAGCGCATCATACGTAATAAAGAATCGTACCCATAACATACTCAGCATGTCGTGGCATGAACCAGTAGGCCTGGCCTGGAACATGTATATAGGCCTGGCCTGGAACATGAAGCGTAGGCCTGGAACATGTATATGTATGTACATATATGCGTGTGGAGTAGCAACCTTCACGCATTAATATGGTATGATGAGACTCAAACCCTCGACCTTCTTAATATGCACGCTATCAAACCGTCGACTCTAGAGGTGCACAGAGACTCAAAACTTTCGACGTTTTAGGCATGTATAGCATTTCACATTCTACCTTCGGAGCGTGAGGGAATCGAACCCTCCACCGGTTAAACTCCCCGTCGCTCTGCATAACGTAGCAACCATGATCCTGTAGTATATGAGTATGTAAAGATTCGAACCCTTGGCTGTCTGAGAATATAGGTAGTCGAACTAGAGGAATATGCAGTGCGTCGAGCCCTTGACATCATGAGCGTGCTGTCTCTCGAACTTTTAACCATCTGAACGTATAGGGAATCGAGTTCTCAAACTTCTGTGCGTGTAGGAAGTCGCACTTTTAATCGTCTAAACATATATCCTCGACCTGCCCCGCCGCGGCGGTCTAGTGGCTAAGGTACTCGGCTGCTGACCCGCAGGTCGCGGGTTCTAATCCCGGCTGCGGCGGCTGCATTTCCGATGGAGGCGGAAATGTTGTAGGCCCGTGTACTCAGATTTGGGTGCACGTTAAAGAACCCCAGGTGGTCGTAATTTCCGGAGCCCTCCACTACGGTGTCTCTCATATTCATATGGTGGTTTTGGGACGTTAAACCTCACAAATCAATCAATATATCCTCGACCTTCGAAGCATGTAGGCGCTCGAACCTCTGATTCTCTCACCTTTACAGGATTCAAAACATCAAGCGTTCGAGCATGTATACACTCGAACATTCGATTTTCTAAGC